AAAAAAAAAAAAAAAGAACACTTTATGTTCTGGATGAATAAATCCTTCCCACTCGGCTGGTAATCACTACAACCAAACAGGAATAAGCTCTTTGATCTCAGCAGACCTATAGTCAAAGCTTAATTTAACACTAATTATTTTTGCTCCTATTGTTGTACRTTTATTTCTGTCATTGCCTTTTTTTTTCTTTTTAAGAGGATTTATTTGTTTGTAACTTCATGGTAAGTTTAATCAATCTCCTTTTTGGAGAGCAACTACACATGAAAACCTTCTGTAGCAGTATTTGAATAAAAATGGTAAATGTGGATCCAAGTATAGGACGACTACAGAAGGTGACGCACTGCATTTTTCCTTCATGTTTGAAAGGAACATTTACACTTTAGCCGAGTCGTAGTTTTAAGACCGCGAGAACAAATGACGTGTTATCAGTTCAGGAATGTTAAACCGGTCCTGATGAGAATGGTTCGACTGTAAAAAAAGAAAAAAAAACTTTGTAAAGCTTTATTTTGAGACGCGCAGGAGGGTGTTTTTGTCTCGACGACTCGCCACTGGCTCCGATTGTGGTGCCTGCTGATGACAGCTCCGTTTTATTATCGCTACACATAATTCAAATCACACGTTTATTGAGTGAGAGTGTGTTTTGAGGGAAAAAAAGGAAAAGAAAAGAAAGCGGAGAGCTCTATTTTTAAAAACGTCACGGTGGAGAAAACGACGCGAGCTGTTTGTAAACAAATGTGCAATGAATTCTGTTGAGTTTAAAGTATCGGTTCGTGGGACGACCTGGAGTTTCTTCCGTCAGTGCAGGGACTTAAAGAGCAAACAAGAAAAAATAAAACAGCTGCGTTTATCGTGTGATCGTTATGAGGGCAGTTCTGTTTTTGCCTTTTTAGTTTTTTTCCTTGTTTTTCTACTCTGGCTCACACAAAAACAAAAAAACATCAGTCCAGCTTCAATTAATTCACTGCATCAAATCATTTGCAGATTATTGTGTGAGCTGGAGATCCAGTTTCCTCGATTGTGGTTCGATACAAAAGGTTGTAGATGAATCCCGATGTCTTTTTATTTGCAATCATAAAGTATAAAACTGTAGGTTTTACAGTTACTGTAAGGAAATTTTCCTTCAATATGTGTCGGTCATCTGCACTTCGCCTGTCGTAGACACCCACTCTCACCTGCCCCCTAAAAGGATCAGTTTAGTTTGTTTTAAAGTGAGGTTCTGTGAAAAGATGAAGCATTAATATCTTACCTGTTGTGGGTAGCTCTTTGAGCGGCCCAAGCTCAGACTAGCAGCTAGCGCTTCAGTCCGGTTAGCTCAACTCTGAAGCTACAGCAGGTGTTAAGATTCACTCKACAGAAGCCCACTTTGAAAGAGCTGAACTGTCCCTTTAACTCGACCACGCTGTATCGTAGATATCAGCCTCCATTGAAACCAGCAGCCTGTGCTTTCAGTTAAACTTGAACATCTATTTAAGGAAACCTTTTTATTTGACTACAGTATACATTTTGCTTAATCTTGCACATTTTGAGAAATGTAATTTAATGTTGAAAATGTTCCAATGTACATAAATGTTTGTTTTGTTTCTCAATGGGGAGCTGATGTAACTGACGTATAGGTATGAGGTTTCATTTTGTAACTTAACGGTGAACTTTAAATCAAAGGAACATATCAGTCACCTCCTACTTAACCTGCAGTTAAATTAAGACACTGAAGCAGATGTGAACTCATTCTGTCCTTTTGAATCGATAGATTTTAAATATTTTTACTTCATGATGATCATGCTGGGTGTAATTGAATAAAATGTTTCTAATTACACTGTTTAATATGAAAATAAATGCAAATGAACTTGTAATGAAAGTTTCTGTCCCGTTACTTTTTAACATCAGAGTTGGAGTTGCTACCTTTCAGCAGTTATTAATTTATCCATTAACCTTTTATCGAACCACTTAACCACCGTGCTACAGCTGCAACCTCTTCAGTGATGAATTCAAACAGTTGGATTAGTTAGGTGATGCTATCAGTGTTTTTTTGTTGTTGTTTTTTTACTTCTACTACCCAGGAATGTTGAAGGAGCACCTACAGTTTTAAGTGCCTCACTTTAGTTTTAACAAAATGCTTATTGTGCAGTGTTAGGTTCATTCTGTGAACTTATGGTTTATGACCTGATGCATCAGAATTTCAACTGCACAAAATGTAACAAAGTTTCTTGGGAAAAATTTTTTTACACAGTTGGAAAGTCTGTTAATTTATTTTTAAAACAGCCACATTTGTAAGGAAACATGCATTTGTGGGGATGAGCAGTCGTTTCATTGCMAAACAGCTTATTTTGCTGTTGCTATTGACACTTGTTTTGACCTTTTGGTACACCCAGGTGCTGCCAATCAGGTGACTCATAAGATTTATCATCAAGGAGCATTGTTGCAATAAAATACAGCGGGTAAAATAATTATTGAACACGTCACCATTTTTCTCAGTAAATATATTACCAGAGGTGCTAATGACGTGAAATTTTCAACAGATGTCGGTAACAACCCAAGTGATCATACATACAAAGAAATCAAACCATAAATGTCCAGAAATGAAGTTATTTGTAATAATGTGGAATGGCACAGGGAAAAAGTATTGAACACATGAAGAAAGGGAGGTGTAAAAAGGCATGGAAAGCCAAGACACCAGCTGAACTCTCTCAGTAATTAGAAAGCAAGCCTGCCCCTTGTCAGTGCAAATTAATATCGGCTGGTTCAGTCCCAAATGATGRCCAGGTATCACACAAGAACCATCTGATGATGGGTAAAAGTAAAGAGCTCTCTCAAGACYTYCACAACCTTATTGTTGCAAAGCATAATGATGGCATCGGTTACAGAAGAATGTCTAAACTTCTGAAGGTTCCAGTGAGCACTGTTGGGGCCATAATTCAGAAGTGGAAAGAACATCATTTCACTATAAACTGACCACGACCAGGTGCTCCTCRCAAGATTTCTGACAGAGGAGTGAAAAGAATTATCAGAAGAGTTGTCCAAGAGCCAAGGACCACTTGTGGAGAGCTTCAGAAAGACCTGGAATTAGCAGGTACGTTTGTTTCAAAGAAAACAATAAGTAATGCACTGAACCACCATGGCCTGTATGCACGCTCACCACGCAAGACTCCACTGCTGAAGAAACAGCATGTTGAAGCTCCTTTAAAGTTTGCTGCACAACATTTAAACAAGCCTGTGAAATACTGTGAGAATATAGTCTGGTCAGATGAGACCAACATTGAACTGTTTGGATGCCAGAATACACGTCATGTTTGGAGGTCAAATGGCACTGCACATCAGCCCAAAAACACCATACCAACAGTGAAGTTTGGAGGTGGGAACATCATGGTGTGGGGCTGTTTTTCAGCATATGGTACTGGCAAACTTCAAATAATTGAAGGAAGGATGAGTGGAAAAATGTACAGAGACATTCTTGATAAAAATCTGCTTCCATCTACCAGGATGATGAAGATGAAACGTGGCTGGACATTTCAGCAAGACAATGACCCYAAACACAAAGTCAAGGAAACTCTCAGTTGGTTTCAGAGAAAGAAACTAAAGCTGCTGGAATGGCCCAGCCAATCACCTGACCTGAATCCAACAGAAAATCTATGGAAAGAACTAAAGATCAGAGTTCATAGAAGAGGTCCACRAAACCTTCAAGATTTGAAGACTGTTTGTGGAAGAATGGGCCAAAATCACACCTGAGCAATGCATGCCACTAGTTTCTCCATACAGGAGGYGTCTTGAAGCTGTCATTGACAACAAAGGCTTTTGTACAACGTATTAGATAAATTTCAGTAAGTGTGTTCAATWCTTTTTCCCTGTGCCATTCCACATTGTTACAAATAACTTCATTTCTGGACATTTATGGTTTGATTTCTTTGTATGTATGGATCACTTGGGTTGTTACCAACATCTGGTGAAAATTTCATGTCATTARCACCTCTAGTAATATATTTACTGAGAAAAATGGTGACGTGTTCAACACTTATTTTACCTGCTGTATAATCTACCAAATGCTCATATCCTTACATTTTGTGCTAGGTTTAGTTTTGTACAAACTAATCAGATCATGATCTTCATTATAACCAGACATGGTGGCATCATGGTGCAGGAAGGCTTTTTTTGTCATGCAATAGAAGAGAACTCAAAATGGAGAGAAAATGGATGTAAATGATTAAAAAGCAAACGGGGGGCCCCCCCCCCCAAAAAAAAAAAAATAATAAACAAAATAAAATTAATCCCAATTATTTCTGCAGGAAAGGAAAACTTGCTGAAATACTTGCTAAGCTTGTGGCATTCATAGGAAAGACAGTGTTTTTTTAGTGCTTGAAGTTGTCTAAAACACCTAATATGTAGAAAGTTCATCTGTTTTAAGCTGTAATGAAACACTGTTAAAAACTAGTGTTGTGTGTAGGATAATCTAGTGAAAAGCATTTTATATTTAAATCTGATAAGTATAATTCCAAACAGTGTTTTTGTGCGACTCATGACAGGAAAACCTCCCAGCATCTTTATTCTTTATTTCATATTTGGATGCCATTAAAGCACAAAGATCCAACCAGTCATGGTGACATTCAGACCTGCTGCCGTGTCAACAGTCACTGTCAGAGTTTCTTCAATAGAGGCTTTGTATTAAATAGTTATTTATTGCAGGAGGTTTGTCCGATGGTAAAGAGCAAAATATTTTCACGTGGAGTCGAGATCCTTTTTTGTTTTTTGAAAGCCTTCAGGAGGCTTTTTTTAAAGCATATGGCTGAAAAACACTTCATTGCAAACATAACAGGACAAAAATAAAGTCAAACTTCAGCAAAAGCSCAATGATAAATAAATAAACTCAATTCAAACATCATTTGAGAAACAAGTCAAACAAAACCAAAGAGGAAAGAAAGAAAATCTACTAAATCATTTAGTTTTAGGCTACAGTGACTGTGTTTGACGTTTAGGACCCAGACCATAGCCCTTCAGTTAAATCCCACCCTCTTCGGTTTTCACTGGATAATTAAAAAAAATGCATAAAAGCTATTGCTTCATCCCAAAAACACCCAGCAGCCAAAGCCAAGTCGGACCAAACGCATGCATCTGCTTCTGTTCTGAACAACCATCCCACACGAGATCCTGTTTGTCCTCACTGCTCGGTCTTCAAACACTTCAGGAAGTTCTTCTTGTGCAACGAGTCCCGCTCTAACATTCATCCATCCGTCACATCCAACCAAACTGCAGAGCTCGGACTCCGTGCTGTGACTGTGCAGTCCCTTTACGGGACGGGGACGAGGAAAGAGTCTGAGAAGACGAAGGAAGATCCAGGCGCACACACGGAGGAGGAGGAGGAGGAGGAGGAAGCTACACGCACACTGCGCTCCCGTTCACTTGAGTCGCCGGTCGCTGATGGGCCGGGCTGCGTGAGGGGCCTGCGGGAGGAGGGTGGGGGCCCCGCGGAGGCTCTGCCGAGTTCCCCCTCACACTGATATGCTCCCATCCTCCCTGAGAGTCAAACGCAGGAGAAGTAAGCGTCTCACATTTTTACTTACCGCCCAAACTACACTCTGTTTAAGATCATCTGACAATAAACAACAGATTTGCTCTAAAAGAGTTCAGCTTTGTTAAATAATGATAAACGATGAGTAGAAAGAATAAATTCAAGTATGCAGTAAAGACAAAAAGTACAGAGTACTCAACTCACTCCTATTCCATAGTCCCAGGACAGGCCCTTGGGCTGCAGGGGCCCCACACCCAGTCTGTGGCAGACAGCTCCAGGGGTCTCCGCTGAGAAACCTGGAACTCCATCTGCGATGGTCCAAACCTTAATCAAGAGGCACCAAAATAAGCACCATCATGTTACTCATTATTWAGTTTTATTTTTATATGTTGTAGCTTTCTGAAGTGATACTTTTTTATCAGAGACATTTCAGTTTTTGAATATTTTGTAGAATTACACAAAGCTGATGAGAGTTTGAGTCCATGGACCCGGTGTTAGTCTCGACACCACATTTGTATTCGGTCTCGTCTCAATCAGGCATTGAAGACTCAGGCTTTTATTTCACTAAATTGCTAGAATATTGTTCAATTTATTTGTTAACATCCTTGCTTTTGTTATATGTAAAATGAACTAATTAAAGTGTGACTCATTTCTATCTATGTATTTTTGTTACCGCTATCACACATCCCCACCCCCGCTTTCACTCGCATGAGGCACTCCAAGAAAGTGAGCAGAGGTCGTCTGGAAGTGGGAGAAGAGGTCTGTAAAATCTTCAGTAATAAAATATGACTAAATCTACATCCAGGAGAAAGCAAAMAGCAACTTGTAAATTCTGCAGTGCTTCAAATTCAGAGATGATGGGGACCGCATCAAACTTTGGACACTTGGAGAGGAAGCACAAAGAAGTGATGTTAACAAAGCTAGCTAGCTAACTCTGTACCGACATTTTGTACAGCCCTCACACAAAGAGACCAAGTCAATATCTATACATATTTGCTGTGTCCAAAACGGCAGGCCGGGTCCTCCGGAGGACCCAGACTACCCGGTTGAGGTGGGCCGGGTCCTTGGTAGACCGGGAAGACCGAGAAAAAAAAAAAAGAGTCTGTGAATTTGGACGGTCTACCCTCCCCTCCACCCTGGCGTACGTCATGTCACCTAGCAACCATGACGACGCTAAACAGAAGCAAAAATAGATCAAAATTAGAAAAATATCAATAAATTAACATTATTAATATCACAAAACAATAAAATTAACTTAAAGGTAACATTTGAAGAACTAATTGATCCGCTGTAGGTGCATGTTTATTTCGCGTTTTTTTTATGACAAAAATATTTAAAAACACGTTTATACAAATGATAAAAGTATTAGAATTACAATCGCTAAAATTTTTTAATTTTTATATCGCCATATTTTTATTTAAAATGTATTCTTTTCTCTCGCTTCGTCCGCCATTACTAGCTTAAAAAAATCTCCGGTCGGGCCGCAATGCATTATGGGATATGCTGGGCCGGGAAGGATCCATCAGACCTGTCCTTCAAATCGGGGAAAAGGAAGGACGTATGTGTCGGACGCATCGGAGGAGTCTTCGGTTTTGGACGGCCTTCGTTGCGGGGCTGTGACGTATGCGGCCGACGAATTCGGCCTTCGGAGGACCCGKCCTGCCGTTTTGGACACAGCCATTAAGTTAGCTACCTGTCTACAGTATACTGTACTCTGTTTTAAGGCACTAGTTTGTTTTTTATTCTGGTCTTGGTCTCGACTCAGTTCCAGCCCCTGAAAGTCTTGGTCTTCAGTCTCTATACACTCTGGTCTTGGCTTTGACTTGGTCTCAGCTTAGGTGGTCTTGACTACAAAACTACAGGAACTACTTGTTTCATCAACAAACTAATTCTTGGTCCCCAGTTCTCGTCTCTTGCTGCTTGTATCGACACTGACCTGGTCCAGCGGTCCCACAGAAACCTTGGTGACGTTGTTGGAGATGAGCTCCCAGGCGGAGCCTTGAGGATAGCTGGGCGTGAGGCCCTGTCTGAACCACAGGTTACCTGTAAGACATTATTATTCATACCTAATTAGGATTCTCTCAAGTCAAAGAGCTCTTAGAGTCCAACACGACTTACTGTTTTCATCTACAGCAAAGACCGAAGTTCTCCCAACAGAGAGCTGTCTGAGGGTCTGCCTGGGGGGCGACGGGATGTGGTACCAACACTCTCCTGCAGAAGGATCAGAGAAGAAGTCTTGCTCAGAGCTCTGACAGCGTAGTGTGACTCTTCAAACTCTGAAGCTACGTGTCCGACTGACCAGCGGGGTTTTGTGGGGACACAGATCCTCTGTAAAACACAGCTCCGTCCTTGGCGATGGCCCACACCTGATTGGCTCCTCCGATAGAGATGGACTTAAAGGGTTGATCTGTGCCCACATGCAGCCAGGAGCTGCCCTGTGGGAACAGAAACACTGGAGTTTGTGACCCGAACATCTAAAAACACAACAGATTCTTTCCTGAGGCTTAAACTCGTGCACTTCCTGCACATGTTCTCACCTCGGGGTTCTGAGGAGTGACTCCCAGTCGACACAAGACGTCTCCCTTGTCGCTGAGGCCCCAGACGGGGACCTGGTCCATTTTGATCTGAGCCAGACACGGCATCAGAGAGATGTCGCTCATGCGGATCGGTGGCACCATCTTCCACGGAGCCCTCACTGTTATCTTACACTTCCTGTGAGGGAGACACGATTAACGCCGCTGCAGAAACTGAGCGACCGCCTGCAGAAGTGTGAGTTCACCTCGTCCATCGTCTGCGGCGAACGAAGTCTTTCATCGTTTTGTGTCCGTGAAACGTCCTGCGGGACGAGACGAGTCAGAGAAAAGAATTCAGCTGCAACGTTTGTTTTTTCTCAGAGGTGGCATCTGGAGAAATGAGCRTTTCGTACGTGGGGAAGTCCGCAGCGTACTGCCAGCCTTCGTTGTCTGCTCCTCCAGGGACGTTGTAATCCACGGCCCACTCCGACACCTAAAACAGAACGTCGACATGCGGGAGGTCAGCGGGAAAATAAATGTCACACATCGCCGGAGGAGCTCCAGGGTTCCTCTTACCCAGGACCACTGAGGCGTGGGTGGGTGCGTGCTGCCTTTGGTGCACTCCTTCAGCCCGCTCTCGTCGCTCCACATAGGGCGGTCAGTAGGAAGTCCTCTGGAGGAGCGAGTCATCAACAGTTGCACTTTTTTTTTCTTCTCCCACAACAACTTTAAAAGTTCAAAAACAAAAAGGCGTCCCTACTTGTCTGTGTATCCGGTCACGGGGTTCCATCTCTGATTCTCGTACACATGGACGCTCCTAACATCAGTCTGCTGCTGCAGCTGAGCGCCGTCTGCAGCAGGAAGCATCGAAACAGATTTTAATCCAAGCAGTTATGTTTGAGCGTTCACATGAAGAGATGACAAAATCTTTACGTTGCTTTAGCAAGTTCTCCCATTATTTTTTTAACATGTTGCCATGTTTTGTGAGTGGCAACAGCTGTCAACTTCATAAGTTGTTTCCTGTACGGATAAGACGTTTTTTTATTAAAGATTTTCAACCAGTTGGACCAAAAGCTTTCATTCAATTAGTCTAGTTTCATAAATGATGGATTTGATTCCTTGGAAGCTGCAGGAAATGCACTGTACGGGTCTACGGGATGTGTTACCAGGACTGAGCTGTTGCCCAAAGCTCCCACTGTAGACCCAGGCGGTGCCGTCCCACCCGATGCCCCACACCAGCCCCAGGCAGTTAGACTCTATGCAGCGCAGGTGCCCCTGGACCTGCCGCCAAAACCTGCAGCGCCATACAGCGGAAGCACCCGCGTTAGCCATGTTAGACACACAGAGAGAGGCAGAGCGGAAGAGACAGTTATATGTTAGCATGTTAGTGACATGTTGACTGCAGAGACACACAACAACGGCTAAAAACAAAGATGTGAGGAAAAAAAAGGTCAAGGCTGCGAGAAAGAGAGGTTTCAAAGTGATGCAAAGCAGAACAGAAGTCAGTCCTTCACATCAGTCTCACATCAGGTCGCAGGCGGTGGTGTGTGCAGGAGCCTCCAGGGACAAAGACGGCTCGTGGACCATCACGTCTCCTTTTAAAGTGGTGGACCACAGAGCCCGTCTGGACGGAGCGCCGGTGATCCCTCGCCACTCACAGCAACAGTCAGACAACAGGCTCAGCTGAAGACAGAAACAAAGAAAAACCTCATCAGTTAACAAATCAAGAAACTTTTTTTCTTCTCTCCAATTTGTTGCTTGATCCATTTGGGTTAGAACAGAACYACTACCCAGTCGTTCATGTCCTTCTCAGTTTGTGCTGCTAAAACCAGAGGCCATCTCTGTCTGGTCCTCTCAGCTGTGTACACAGCAAACGCGTAGTGGCAGTCCCGCAGAACCGGAACCAGCACCGTTACCTCGCTCATAAACACCTGAAGGTACTGAGACAAGAGACAGAAGAGAGAATGTTTCATCATTATTACCGTCTCCTTCAACTATCCCCGAATTAAAGAACAAACACAAACCTTCTTCTCATCGTACTGCATGTAATACACAAAGAAAATACTGTCCTTCCTTCCGTCAGACTTGGTGGATTGTTCCAGAGCAACGCTCACATCCACCCAGCGCTGCGGTTTCCAGTCCCTCCACCAACGCAAAGCACCTTTACGCACCCACACCGACTGGGGATAGACACAAAGGAAGGATGACACCACACAAACATAAAAACAAACACAAACAAGAAACACAAACACACGAACACAAAATCAAACACAAACATTAATATAAGCACAAACACAAAAAACACAAAAACAAACAGAAAAACACCATGAACACAGACACAAAAACAAACACAAAAACAAACACAAACAAGAAACAAACACAAACATGAACATAAACACAAACATGAGCATGAACACAAACACAAAAACAAACACAAACACACTAACACAAAATCAAATACAAACACAAACATAAATATAAAGACAAAAACAAACACAAACACGAACATAAATATAAACACAAACACAAAAATGAACACAAAAACAAAGACAAAAACAAAGACAAAAACAAACAAACACAAAAACAAAGACAAAAACAAACACAAACAAGAAACACAAACAGTAAAATAACAACGGTCTCACGTTGTTTCTCTCCAGGGGTTTCTTGCTGATCTCTCTGCGCTCCTGTTGTTGAGGCTGCTCGCTCCAGGCTGCAGACTGAACCGGAGTCAGTGACAAGGAGCTGGTGAGTGGACCTGACAGATCAACAAGTCACAAACAACAAGTCAGTGTAGACAAACTTTAGAGATTTAAAAACTCCAGGATAATATGAAAACATAAAAAACTACATTTTTGGTTTATGAACTTTTAAAAATTATGGGAATGTTGATCCAGTAATCACTACTGTTTTCTTGTTATTTTTTTTCTGTACACTTTCTGAAATCTAGGTACTTCTTCATAATTTGTGCTATTTTAGCCTTTCATAGAGCAAAACATCCAGCTCATTCAAATGATGGAGGCTAATTTGCAACTTATTTATTTTATTTACAAATATTTTCTCAGTAAAACAAATCATTTAGAGCTCTTCAATCTGTTTTTATAATCTGCTTTAGCATACTTGCTGTGGCTTTGGCTGTATACTACCTTTTGTTTTTAGCTACTGTTCTGCTATCTTAAGCTTAAAGATGATTGTTTTGCTACTTTTAACGCTTTTATCACTTTCATCTTTTGGCTAACACTGTTACATACTGTATTATGCAGTCATTTAACTGCAGAGCCTGGAAAATAAACAAGATGCTCCACACAGTTCAGAATTTAGTAGGCTACAATAAACTTTGGCTTTGACTTTGTAATTTGCAGACATTTAATTTACATAAAAAAGACGAAAAAAAGGCAAGCTTTCTAAAAATAAAACAAAGCCTATAATAACCTGTTACTAATTTAAAAAGCACCACAGAGTAATTGTTTCTGTACCTGTAGGACTGAGCCAGCTGATCTGTGAACTTGCGTCCACGTCACAACCTCCGCCGGAAATCCAAGTCCACACCGGCGCGTCCTCCTCTCCGACGCGCTGCGAGCCCTCCAGAGTCCCCAGGCCGTCGCTTGATGCACGCACCGTGGCCTGAGCGGTCCGCGCTGCCTCTGCCCCCTCCAGGTCCACGTTCATCCAGGGGACGTCGTGTCCAGCTGCAGGAGGGGTCGGAAGGATGGCAGCTGGGGGCTGCTCCTCGCTGCCTTCGTGTGGCGTCTCTGTGATGGAGGCTTGCGGTGTGAGGGTCCGGTCGCGGTCAGAGACCAGGCTGTTGATGAAGCTGTCGCTGGCGGGGATGAAGGGCTTGGGGACGTCGTGCCGCGGGGCTGAAGGAGCCTCTTTCAGCTCGGGCGGTGGTGCGGAGGCGTCGGCTGCCCCTAAGGGGACTATAGAAGAAGCTTGTGCCTCCAGTACCGGTGTGTCTGCGTGCTGGGGGTCAGCAGGACCCGACTCTGATTCTGAGTCGGTGCAGCTCAGTGCAGAACCTTGAGAGGCCTCAGTCAGCTGGCTGTTTAACTCACCTTCATTCCTTTKTTTCAAAACAACACAAACACACAAAGATGGTTAGAGATCAAACGTCAGCCACGAATGTTTGGCTGTAAATTTAAAGTTTATCTCCACACCAGACCTGGGTGGAATCCCATCTTTATTGCTGCCCCACTGGGCCAAAACAGGGATCCAGCCACTTCCACTTGGTTCAGACGGGGTCACCCCCATTCTAAAATACAACCCCCGGTCTTCACCCACTGCCCACACCTAACGGAGAGAGAGACGGAAGGAGAGGAAGCGGGGCAACAACAGTGAAACTTCATCATCTCTGCTGCGGCTTGAAACCAATCATTTCATTTGATGAGATGTTCAATCAAAGTCACGAGCAAAAACTAAATTACCCTTCATTCTTTAAAGACCAATCAACGGGACAGAAGCAGCTGCTACTTTATAAGGACAGCTACTGTAACTCCGGCTGCTGCCGCCTCACACACCCATAACTGTAACCCTGAAATATAAAATATGGGGATATGATGGGATTCGATGACAACGGCTTGGCCAGCTTCTAATTAGGGAGTSTCCCATATGTCAGGCCAGAGGGAATATATATAAGGCCCGGACAGAGACGACTGCTGGGACACTGGCTGGAGCGGCTCGTGTTACAGGGCTGCCGCTGGGCATGACTGCAGGCTGGAGGTGGAAGGGGTGTGTGTGTGTGTGTGTGTGTGTGTGTGTGTGTGTGTGTGAGACGGAGAGGGAGGAGAAGGTGTGAGATGTGGGTTTGCAGTGCAAGCAAAGTCTTCAGCAGTGAGAGCAGAGAGTTTCTACCCCTGATCTGGCCGGTCCTGAAACCAGATCCAGACAGAAGGAGCTGCTCACTTTCCTGTCATGGAAGAGTTTAAATGAGTGTAAAAACTTAAGTAAAATGTTTTTTTTAAAGTCTTTTAATGTTCCTAACAAAAGAAAAAAAAGTCAATCTTAGTGTGTTCATTGTAAAYAGTAGAGGTGCAACGATACAAAAAATTCACAGTTCAGTTCAGTTCAGTACTTTAGTCTCACGGTTCGATATTTTCTTCCTACAAAAAAAGAGAAATTTCCACATTTATTGAAAATAATTATGAACCTTTGTTTAACCTCAAAAGTCCAGTTTTGAAATTAAATGTTGCTGAAACAGCAAGTTTCTCAGTGGATCTGAGCTCGATGCAGCCTAGGTGGAGTAGTCGAGCACAGATCCACTGAGCCTTCAACACGGCACATCTTTAGAATACAAGTTGATAAAATATATTTTTTTAATCTGTATTATTTGATACATAATGCATATTGAACCTAGAGCACTGTATTGAACGATTTATACATGTAGCATATATTGTTGCACCCCTAGTAAATATATGTAATTATTTCTGTTAATTATCTAAAATTCAACTGTTTTTAGTTCAGACCTGTAAAAACTTTAACAATTAATATCTTACCGGATAGAGATAGCTCTTTAAATGTCCTCATTTTAAAGAAAAAGAGTTTAATTCTGACCAGATTGATGCTAATCTGCATGGATCCAGTGTAGTTTTGTTGTGTTAAAGCCACTCTAGTCTTTAAAATTTGAATTCATGAAAACTTTATTTTATAAACTATTACATTTCAGTCACTTCCACACTAAATATTAGAAATATTATGATATTCCTGCTTAGTGTTAGTTACTGCTATTTGTGCTGACAAATAACCACATAATTCTATGTGAATAAAACAGCAATATAAAGGTTTATAAAACGGTGTTTGCACAAGCTTTTATGACATTTTTGAGGCTGGATCTATTTTGGTCTCAGCCTCACTCAGGCTATCCATTGGCTTCTTCAAACAGTTCAAACAGTATCTACAACAGTTAAGATGATAATTGTTCATACTCTTATTTGATGGGATTCTTTTCTCGGAGCCCATAACCAAACTGGTGGAGCTCCAGCGTGTTTCCWTAAAAACAGAACGACAGTAGCTGAAACGTTTTGATGAAGTTCTCACCTGGTCGTTGAGTCCCACATCCACCATCATCATCTCTCCTCCGATGCCGATCCAGCYGGAGCCACAGGGGTTGTGGGAGTTCACGCCACGCCTGAACCACACCTGGATCCACAAACAGTTCAGTGTAAGAATGAASCGTCGCTGCTCCGAGCGTTACCCGTCTGTGAGCAGTTCTGGTTCACCTTATAGTCCTTAGTGACCACCCAGACCACGCTGACTCCCACAGACACGTGAAGAGCTCCCACTTCCTTTGAGGGGGATTCCACCTCCACCCAGGAGGTGCCTATCAGAGGGAGAAAATATCATCAACAAGCCGCTGGATTGTTGTAAAATAAACTGCACTACTAAGAAAAATCTCACTTTTATAGTGTCAGTGTACATGGCAACTTAGTAATTCTTCATTTTTTGGGACTTATTCAGTTAAAAAGGAAGTRTTTCCTGGAAATCCTTAATGACGCTTCTCATACTGTTATTAAATTACTAAAATTATTCTAAAACTGCATTAAAAGCTGCACAATTATTCCTATTTCCAAAATGTACCATGTACCACTCTCAAGGGTGAGGAAAAATTAAGAAAATAAATATATGTTAAAACAGGGTTCTCACGCCTTGGTGAACATCAAATTCAAGGCCCTTTCAAGGACTTTCAAGTACCAATTCCCTCAAATTAAAGAACCACGCGCAACGGCAACTACTGCTACCGCAGAATGTTACCAATAAACAAGTTTAATATTATATAAATTCAATGAAAAACTGAACAAAGAAGTTGTTGAGTCAGAAACAATGATGTCAGTTTACCGTAATCCTGAGTTATCCACTGCAACAAATGTATGTTTTTTTTATTAAATTTTATAATTTATTTTTTTTAAAAGATGATGAAAATCAGTCATGTGAATAGAGAATTTCAATCCTCAAAAAACATTCAAGGACTTTCAAGGATAAGTGTAATTTTTTGGCTGTTTTCACAAACTTTCCAGGGCCTTGGAATCATTTATTTCACATTCAAAACCTTTCAAGGATTTCAAGGACCCGTGGGAACCCTGTTAGAAGAACTTTTGCACAAACAGGTAAGTGCTGACCAGTTGGGCTGTCCAGGCTGAGTCCAGTACGAACCATAAGGTTTCCATCCCACAGTAAAGCCCACAGGAGGTCCCCGGGGCCGGCTGACAACTGAGCCACTTCTTTGGGCACCTCCACCTCCTCCCAGCTGCTTCCCTCTGGGACACGAGGGTGTATACCCTCCCTGAACCACACCTGCATGGTAGCAGTCATTTTTAACAGATCAGATTCAATTCAAACTCAAAAATACTTTATTAATCCCAAAGGGAAATTACATTAAAAATTACATCATATACTGAAAAGTACGAACAACACTTTTTGACTAAAAGCTGTATAATATATACCACCTATCTAACAGTAGATCAYTAAAATATAGTAACTTTCACGAGTATTACTGTAACTGGGTCCAAAAAAAACACAAACTTTGAACATAATTTAATAGAGTTGTGCTGCCCTCTAGTGGCTAAAAATTGATCCTGCAAAGCCAGTTGGGGAGCAGGTTCATAAAAAAATCATTTGATCATCATTGTTAGCATTTGTAGGATTTTTGGAAAAAAAATCCCATTTTTCCACATGAAAACTCATTTTGTGTTCTGTAGAGTGAACAAAGCCCACTTTTGAGACAAGAATTGAAAAAAAAAAACTTTAAAATCTTTGATAACTTTTAGTTTCTTGATACTTGTTGTTATTATTTGAAGGATTTAAAAAAATCCTATTTTTCCATATGAAAACTCATTCTGTGTGTGTGTTTGAGATAAAATCTGCCACTGTGAACAGGACGTACATAATCACACCGTTTTTAGTAGCGGCTCAAGAGTTAGCATAGCTTTAATTTATGCGATTAGCTTTTATTTGYAGCCAGTGTTGTCAGCTTTGTGTGAAGTAGAAGAGAAACACAGAAAAAAAAATGGATGAGAGGTTTGCTTCACATTTAGCACAAGCTGCTGACCGACCTGTCCTTGTTGGGACACACCCCAGAGGTATGGATAGCGTCCGGACTGGTCGCTCATCTCCCAGCCGCCGCAGCTGATGTCACAGAGCGGCAGCGGGGGCTTCCTGGGATTGTCCAGGGGGATCTGGCRAGAGCAGACTGAGCTTAACGCACGTATTTGTACGCCAACTATGTAATGATGAAAAGCGCTGCATCCTAGACAGAAGTAGAGGAGACTTTGCAAACCTTTGCCCAAGTGCCTTGTGCCGTGTATCTTCTGTAACGGATCCACCGCCTACGACGCACACAGGAGTTCCACTTCTTGTCCGGGGAGAAGTTGGCTGGGAAATCAACAGCGTATTCCCAGCCCTGAACGGTGAGAGAAATGAAGAGGGGAGTGTATAACTAGAAAATTAAACCTTATGTCGATCAATGGAAATGTAAAAGGAAAATAAAAATGGCTAAATAAAAAGGCTTTAGGAGTTGTTCCTCACCCCAGTCTGGCTGGGTTCTCCTCCACAGGTCTGATCCACGTACCAGTCTCCTTCCCACTCCCAGCTTCTGGAGGGCAGCTGGAAGCTGTGGAGCGGCTGGGGAGTCATCCCAGTCACGTCGCTCCACGGCCAGCGGTCTGTGGGCAGCAGGACGTCAGTGAAGCCATCCACCGGGTTCCACCGCTGAAACGCACACAAACAAACCAACCATTTATTTACATGACGCCTACATGTTTACTTWAAAGAGAGGGTCTGAGCTGACCTGGTTTTCATAGGTCTCCTCTCGGTAGCGGATGGGGGTCTCACTTGGTATTATGTGCAGATAAACGTGATGATCACAGCCGATGCCCCAGCAGCGCCCCTTGCCTGCAGTGGCGCGCTTCAGCTCCAGCAGCATGTCGTCAGCGCGCATCCAGCTCTGCCCACCCGTGGAGAGGCTGTACACCCTGCCGTACACGTCCACGGCCCACAGCACCGTGATGGGCATGGTGTTCCCTAAACACAAACAGTTGCACCCAGACCTTATTGCAATTACAGATTTCGGCTCTCTTCAAAGGTTTGCGTAGCATGTTGAATTTTGTTTTCTCTTTTAAACAYTGGATGCCTTCAGCGACAGAAAAAAAGCAGCCCCACAGCCAAACAGGACCTCAACCAGGTTTAAATTGTTTATTTTCTTTTGAAGCTTCTTTTTGTTAATTTTAGGCAAGCCGATAAAAGGTCAAGATGAAGCTTTGTTGATGTGCGTGTAAAATAGTCAAACTAGTAAATTTAACTAATCTACTACTACTACTTTCTACTTTGATAGTTATATTTGTGTGGGTTCCAGCACATAATGGAGTAGAAAGAAACGAGAGGGCAGATAAAATGGCAAAGAGGACAGTTCAGTATCCTATTAGTTTTACAATTAAAATAAGTAAATCTGAAGGWAAGAGTATTGTTAAAGAGAAACTGATGAAAGTATGGCAAAAAAGGTGGGATGAAGATAAAACAGGAAGATGTTTTTTTTAATTCAGAAGAATGTAGGAGAAAGAAGAAATGGAAGAAGAAATAGAAAGGAGGAAAGAGTGATAACAAGGCTACGATTTGGTCCTACAGGACTTAATTATACACTTTTTAAAATTCAAAAAACATAAAACTGGCAAATGTGATTATTGTGA